GAATGCAATGCTTTGATGCCACGGCGGCGCGACCGACGCCGGCCGCTGATTCAGAACGCTTTCCGTTAACGAGGCAAAGTCTCCGCGGGTTTTCTGCTTTCCCGGGGGCTGCCCGTCTGGGATTTCGAACGAAATTGTTCGGAAGCGGGTAAACGATGACTATTATGACCGGATGCTTGGATTCGTCGTCATAATCTACGAGGAGAGGTACGGTGAGGTGTTCTTGGGATTGTTCGAGACAATGAGATGGCGTTTTTTTTTTATGATCAAAGAGGATTTATCTGTTGGGTGTAGTTTTAATGTAAAAGATTTTTATTGGATAAGTTCCTAGCTTTTATTGGTCAGTTTTTAACTGCTTGGATCGAGTAGAACAAACGTATAGGAACCTACATAGGCATTCTAGTGGTTACGTAGGTCGTGGTTTCCTTGGAGTCTAACACTTTTAGCCTTAGGCAGACATTCAAGGAAACGGAATAATAGTTTCATAGTTGTGATCAACAACGATTAAGAGAATCGATATCAAAAAGCTATGAAGATCGAAGATGGTCCTATATCTATCAAACAAAGGTTGAAAGAATGTAAGCGTGTAATAAGATGCGACAAAAATATTTAACTTTTGCTTCGTGATACTATTTAAGTTTTACAATTACAAATGAAACGTGCCGTTCACTTAAAAGTGTATTTCTATTTGGAAATATAAACGTTGGATAGTTCATACGATAAAATTTTGTCACAATGGGCTTCCAGGCCGATGTAAACTGTCAATACGATTCCGATGTACCGACAATTTTTTCTTAACTACATTTACCCGGAAGTATAGTTCTATTGCGACTACCTTTTCACTGTGCAGAATTAAATTGTGATCGCGCGCAGACCATTTTTATACGTTCGCCCGTACCATTTTTATTCTATCGTGGACATGCTCGCGTATGGGTACGCTGCGTCGCGTCGCTTTGACAAACACAGGGATTTCCAAACGTTTGTCTACGGCCAACAATTTTCAGCGAACGCTCGTTGCAGGTAAATATCATTCGCTAAAAAGTGTTATTGAATATTGTTTACGATTGTGTAACACTTTCGCGAACAACGTTGGTAAACGCAGCCCACATCGCTGTGAATTCGATAATCAACTAATTGTATACACTCGAATTGTTTGCGTGTAACCTCGATGCGTTTTGTGGATTGCACATCAAACGCACTGAAATGATGGTAAACTGTCGTCGATCTAATAAACGATTGTCGGCAGATATTAAGACACCCGAATTTTATTTGCGCTTCGCGCTACGAGCGGCGAACGCGGTGTTAATAAGACTGATACGTTTCGAACGTTTCTAATATCAGCGTAAGTGTAATGCGTGTGACAGTTCGAAGGACGAGATCAAATATTACATATTTTTATGTCTGGGTCTTCATATATCGAAATCATCGGATACGAGGACTGAGCAAATACTGAGCCTTCGAGCGTTCGGTTATGATGTGTATTAATCGAGGAAGATAAATATTGCTCTCTCTCGCGGTGTTTTTCCGCGGTCTCGACCCCACATCACCGAATCGTGAAAATAGTGTATTTTTTCAGCGTTCCAGCGAATACGTAGATTTTTTCTCGTCGTTGCTCCCCCATTTTTCAATAATTTTGTAATGGGTCTTTAGGAAAATCTATTTTATTAATGTAATCTTTAACATAACCTTGTTACGCATTTACGGTATGTGCTAAGCTCGTAAAATACAAGGAAATTTATATATTGGTCGAAATTAATAGTATTTTTGTTTTATTTCCAACATAACGAATTTGTTTAAACATAAAAAGAATCATTTGTTTTGCTTTTGGTGTCGTTGAATAATATTTAAAATTAAGAATTTGAAGAATTTAAATATTCTATGGAATGTTAGACAGTAGAATTTCATATCGATCATAAGTCTATCAACTTTATTTAAATTTTCTCCGCACCGAGAATTTTTTATTAGCTTGTCAAATTATGTAAATCTTAATATTACCGGGGAAACAGTGGGCGTATTTGCAACAGTATTGTTTTGACGAGTTAATTGCGTGTTCCTGGTAACGCAACGATACATGCAAACGATGGTAATGGCACAATTACGACGCCATTTGTAGCCCGCCTACGGTTTCCTCAATTTCAAAATGCACATCCACGGACACCTTTTCCCGGAATTTCATCGACAAAATTTAGGACTACTTCATGAATCATCGGTGAACATTTTCCTGGCAATCATAATTCAATTACAAATATTTCTTTCAGTTTCCACTTCCATAAACTATTTATTTTATACGAAACAGAATGCGCATAGAATTGAATTCCTCTATTAAAGAATTATTTTTATTCAATTTTTTTTGTACAGTATTATCATTATATTTTAATAACACATGAAGACATAATTACTGCATATTTTCCCCAGTACTTTAATACTGCTAACATTACCTACAATAATGAAGCATCAACCACATATCATCACTTAAATTCGAAATAATGACAATACTGGAGTCGTCTCTCGAACCTGTGAATGGTCCAGAGTAGGGTAAAATGGAACACCAATATTTTTTATAGACATTACTTGTGTATTGATCTGCAGTTGATCATAAATTATTCCGAGGACTTATTAGATCTGTGTCATGCGACACCAGCTCAATACGAGTTTTATCTACGAAAACATTGGTGTTCCATTTTACCCATCCGTTCTCTTTTACCCTACTCTCCATTTACAACTAAGACGAAGTCATAAAAAACTTTCTCAAGATGATTAGACATCCGATGATATGGTGACTGGATGATAAGAAATCCAACCGGTTGATCTAACATTAAAACTACCATTCGGTTCAAAATGATCCATTCCTGATTTTTTCTTTCTGGAATTATTAAAAAAGATAATGAGTGTTTCTCTAAGAAATTGCTAAAGAAATTGACTGTACAATACGCAAGATGAATTGTAAATCAGTTAGTCTCAACGGATGCATTCTTGGAGATTCTATAAAGGAATTTCAAAAAGTCTATTTAACTGTTCGGTAGTTTTAGTACTAAGAGATATTGAAGAAATTGATTTAGCAGTATGCAAATCAGTTAGTCTCAACAGATGTATTCTTGGAGATTCCATATAGGAATTTCAAAAAGTCTATTTAACTGCTCGGTAATTTAGTGCTAAGAAAGAAGGTGTTCCGCTCGTCTCAAGGGGGATGAACGCAGAGCACGCGTACGCGTAGCGTTCGCAAGGGTAGTAACGCGTGGAACGTTTATCTCCGCGCGCGACAAAGGCGCGTAATGAGAACACGTGTTGGATGCAGGAAGCTTCATTAGCGAACCTGTTCCTGTCCGCGAGGCCCATTGTGCGACCGAATCGTCTGCTCGGCGCCGATGCCTGCGCGCACGCGATTCTTTGCCTCCGCGAGCCCATGTAGCCGGCGGGTATTTGTTACCGGCAGTAAACATGAATTCCTAATTGCGGAAATGGGCCTCGGCTGCCTCTGGATGATCGTTACCAGCGACCTGACAATCGGCGCGGCTTGAACGTCCTGCGAAATAATCCCCCAAACGTTGGGATGTTCCGAAGTTCCATTACCCTTTCGCTCGTTTTTCTAACACCCTCTCAACATGGACTGGTTATCTTCAGCTCGATCTTTATAAAGGGTACTTCTGGAAGAGATGGTCCACTTTTTTTTAAAAGAACTGTTATATCATAAATATCATTGGTACCTAATAAACAAGTATATATTTATGAAAATAAATGCTTGTAAGTAGAATAGTTAAGAAGGTATCTGTAAAAGATTCAGTATACCACTGAAAACAATTGAAAATATAGACACTTGACAATCTTAATGAGATCGGGCTATTATTGGCATTACTCTAGGTATCTAGTAATTAAGTAAAATGTAAATTTGTTTCTCAGTAGTTTTGTTACATTCAAAAGTAGGTTAATAATTTTGTTTAAATTGTATTCTTAAAAAATTTGAACGGATTGTGGTGCTAGAGATGACTTGTTGATTCACGATTGTAGCTGCTTGTTAATTGGTAAAATTTGTATGTATAATATTCTGTAACTAAGAACTTAGCTTTTTCGTGGAAATGTAGCCTAATGATGTTGTAAATTTTTTGCTTGGTTAATAGTATTATAATAATATAGAAATTTGGTTCGGTGAACGCGAAGTGTGTCAATACTTTTATCTATTACATTATGCCTTGTTTGATACTACGTTATTCCTAGATTGTGGGTATCAATCACACCGAGTTACCATGAATTTTTAATTGCGGAAACCAACCGCATGCCCACGCGTGTAACGCAGCCACGAGTCCTAGTGTAGATGAATTATAAACGATGCTGGTCAGCTGGTTGGCTCGTTTGTTAATCGGCTGTTGTAAATCAAGCATACATTTCCTGGTTTCCTCTGATTAGCTTCGCGATACGAAATCATATAACTCTCTAATTGGAGACGCGTTTCACGTTAGAAATGTCGATCGAGTTAATTACAGAATACATAGATACTGGACATTAAGAATAGAGAACTGAAACTTGAATGAAAGAGTATCGAGTTCTTGCTCGAAATCAGTAGAAATCTTGAAATATCATTGTTTGAAATAGAAACTCAATTTTCCTAAAATCCAGTAATTAATAGCTGAAAATCACGAGTGAAATAATAAACAATGATTTTCACGAACACTCTTCACGAATACTGACAAAATAAAATTACTTATTCTAAATAATTTCACGAAAATGATTTTTTACTAAAACAATCGAATACAGGGCTACCTATACATATATGAAGCAACACTTTACTTTTTCAAAGTAAAAATTTATACAGAAAATTATTAAAAATTGCACAATCGTGAACACGTTGTCTATCTTCGTAAGGATTCCTGTACTCAACGCTTACCATGAAATATGTCAAGATATTAAATTTGTTCAATTTGTTCAATTTGTTCTACGAAGGATTCAGTTAACGAGTAACTAATTCTTTCGAGTGATCGTAAATGTGCTTTGTTTTATTTTTCCAGCTTACGGCGGGGTCCGGGGGCTAACGTGCAAGACGCCAGTGGATACTCCGCCCTTCATCACGCAGCGTTGAACGGTCACAAGTACGTTTCGATCGGTTCCGATCAATCTCGATTCTTAAGTCGCGTCCGTTCACTTAATCGTCCCACTTCGCGAAACGATCCATAGAATTCGATGATCGTGGAATCGTCTTCGCCGCGTCCCTCGTTGATATTCCCTTCGATCGCCTATTAATCGATACCAAGCACATTCTAAAGGTAATTCGGGGAAACGCTTTTATCCTCAGGGAGGTGGTAAAGTTATTGCTCCAATATGAGGCTTCCACTAACGTCGTCGACGCTAAAGGCTCTTCGCCGCTTCATTTGGCAGCTTGGGCGGGCGACGCTGAAATCGTGCGGTTAATTCTTACCCAAGGACCTTCGGTACCCAAAGTGAATCTTACGGTCAGTGAATTTATGCCTTTTCTTTTTATTTCCTCTAATTAAAAAAACGAAACGCGGTATTAATATTTCCGACGGTACACTGTTTGCATTCATGAAACGTCTCGTTGATCCTGCCTTTGAAAACTCGATTCTCTCGGTGAATATAAAAATCGTGTTCAAGCTTCGCGCACATCAGATTCATGTATTATTATTGTATAACAAACACATGGAATTTGATTGTATTGTAAAAGAAATTCAGTCTGTTGAAGGATCACAAACATTTTTTTATGCGAAATTTTCAATTCAAGTTATATATTCAAGATAAAAGAATTCAACGATGTTTTTCTTTAGTTTTATTTTAGTACAATATTCAGTTTGATGAATATTATTTAATTTTTTCTTATCGAAGTGGTACTGATGAAGTAGCATTTTAATTTATCGAATCGTTTGTACTTTCCGATGGAACAGTGAATCGTTCTCGCATTCTCAGGGTGTTTCAAGTTCATTTCGGCACTCGACGATGCCGCGAGTCGCGAGCAAGTAATTTGTTAACTCGGAATACCGGCTTTGTATGATCGCAGACGAAGGACAACGAGACAGCGTTGCACTGTGCAGCACAGTATGGGCATACGGAAGTGGTGGCACAGCTGTTGCAATACGGATGCGACCCCAGTATCCGCAACAGCCGGGGAGAATCTGCACTCGATCTCGCTGCACAATATGGCAGGTAAATCGCAAGTATTTTTTCTTTTTTTTTATTCGTTCGACCCCCCGTTTTTAGTTGAAATTCTAACTTCTTTCGTATTTTTATGATCGTCCACCGGGTGCTGGCAATACAAAACTCTAGCCTTGTCAATTATTACTTAATATCGTCCGTATAATTCGATCGATGACGATTGTTAATTGGCTTCACGCTCCTCCAGTAACGTTAATTATCTTTTGTAGGCTGGAAACCGTGCAATTACTCGTTAGCACGTATCCGGAGCTGATCGTACCTCTTCGGAACTCTTCCTCGTCGGTGATTTTCCCTCATACTCCGCTGCATTTGGCATCGCGAAATGGACACAGGTAAGTCTACGATTTTCATTCGCTATAATTTGTATTCCTTATTATGAACTACATTTCATTTGTTTCATCTTGAGATTTTTGAAATCTTATTTGATTTAGTATTATACTTTTCTTTTAACCTTGCTTATAATATTGTTACCATTAACTGATTATTATTAATATACGTTATATTTTATTCTTTTATAATTTACTGTAAAATTCCTGTAATATAATAATCGTAAAATGTACTTACTTCTAATAGCAGTATGCAGATTATATGTACTTTTTTAGTTACATGCACCTCACATTAGAAATCTTTTTTCTCTGATTTCGTAGTCGAAAGTTTCATTTGGGATTCCATCTATCTCGTCCGTTGTACCTTAGGCCGCGGTTTCGATTATACCGTGTCCAATAACTAGCCGATACTGTTCGACAGCTCTACGTTCTCTCTTTATTTAATCAAGCTGAACCGATGATCGTGCATGGCGTTCGATCAACACGCGAGGGTGGCGGCCCGCGCGTTTGCAGCCGGTGTCCATGAAATCTATTTTATATTGCATTGCAGATCAGGATCGCTGTTAGATTATTCATGATTCGCGGAACCCTGCCGAACTCGTGTACGTTCGGCTTCCGAACGCGTACACGAGTCGCGCGATTAATTTGCGTTTGCTGTTCGGGGTCAAAAGAAAGCTTCGACAGATTTGATCCTCGATTTTCTATATTTTCCCGTCGAAATTAGTCACCAGGTATGAAAATATACTTACAATAAATTATATATTGTTAGTAAATCAATAAGTGTTACGTTGATTTTACATTTAATCGTCTATATGTTATTAAACCCTTGTTTTATCGTATCTGAATACAATTTATGGCGAAGAATTGCGGATTTAATAAACATTCTAGGACTACCTAAGTGTATTTTCTTGACAGTTGGAAAATTTATGGAATATTTTTACGTGAAAGACAACCAAATATGTAATACTGTTAAAGTGCCACATATCTCGAAGCACAAGTATCACAACACTGAAAATTTACAGTTTCAGAAATTGGTTTGTTCAGTATCTACGCCAGGGAACAGAAAAGATTTTCAAGCTTCTATTTATTATAAATTTATAACAGAAATATTTCCAGTAATTTTTATATATACACAATATATTTAAGTACATAATCTTCACTATTTATGCCTAAAACTATCCAGTAAACCTATCATCTATCATTTCATGTATATCATTAAAACCGTGTTACTACCCTCTAACAAAAACTCTCGTTAAAACCTACGCCAGACAATTAAAATCCTTTCGTTGTCATCTGAATGTATCAATAGGAGTGTGCTGACCCGCAACTTCCCCGAACCGAGACTACCGCTCCCTTCATTCGTTGTCTGAGAACAGTTTTTTCCCTGGAATCGTCGGTGTTAACTACTGAGTAATGTCTCCCGCGCATTGTATCCCAGGAACAACAATGGACTCGTTTCAGCTAACCATAACGATGTCGAGCCATTTGCAGCGTTGCCCATTAGAGCCAATCAGAGAGCACCGCGTTGCGTAATTCCGTCGAATACGATATGTACGTCCTCCGACTGGCATGATCCGTTGCAACCCTCTCCTGGTTACACGTCCTATATTACCATCCTGCCGATCGCCCTCTCATTCCTCGGCGAGCTCAGCGAAATGCATTCGATCGCATTGTACCGTCAACAGCTCTGTCCATCCGTGCGGATTGCTGACCGCCACTCGATTACGAGGATCGTATTAATCATTACCTCTGAAACGTACCGACCTAGATCAGTCCGGCTCTCACGAGTTGGCTGAATCGCGATTGCTCGGACCGTACCCGGAATGTTTAATACCCTTTCATGCCTGAAAGTGTTCCATTGCTTGATAAACGCACCACGCCTCGGAATATCGTACTCCTCAAAGGATTTTGTTCTAGCCGTGTTCGAATTCACCATTGTTTCTTCTGACTTCGGAGATGATTTTTCCCCGGGAAATGCAGATAGATCTTAAATTTTGGTTTTTCTACCAATAGTGTCGTAGCAGAGGGTATCAGTAAAATTTGATTAAAAATAAGTCTTTCGTAAGAGAAATATATGGATCAGTTATGACGTAGGATATAGTAGAGACTATTGGTTCACATAATGGGACACGTGATTTACTGCGCATAGTCATTGAAGGTTTCATTTTCGATCAGGAAATATTCGATTGTTGTGTCAATAATTATACAATATATTATTGCAGTTGAATCAGTAGAGGTTTTATAAATTTTTGACGAGTTTTGTAACTATCGAATGTAGCAATAATGTTTTTATTTTATTAATGAAAGTTGGGAATGAAAGAGATGGGAACGGTACTTTTAAATATACTGTTATTGAATGTTGTACCCGGTGTCAGGAAACTATGACGAATTTTCCTAGAATTGTTCCCGATAACGTTTTTCAAATTGTTTTCACATGTGCCGTGCTTAATAACCTGAAAATACAGTTTAACGGCGTTACAGATGAATTGTATTTGGTAAAGTGTGCGTTCCCAAATTTATTTCGGGAGAGTGGAATTCAGTTCGTTGTTGCGCGAACAATTTACAGATCGATATAACGGTGAAACAAGTCTACCTATGATAACAAAAGGGATATTCCGGCGCAAATGAAAAGAATTTTGCAAATATCACGGCGGGACCGTCGCGTCCGTTCGATTTACTAGTATTTACACAAATAATCGGTGATCGTTGCGTGGCGCGGTAAAAATGTCCAGTTAAATAAACGATATTGTAAGCACGAATCTTTGTTATTTGATTAATTGAACCGTTCAATCGGATGATGCAAGATTAACTGGATAATCGGTTGCGCCAGAGCCGTGCAATTAAATAACGGGAATGGATTTCGCGTTCTGGGTATAAAACAATTCTTTTCGCGTGTAGTTTGCTTGCGCTTTTGTGTACCCAATTTTTTCAGTGTAACGCGCCGTTGTAATTTTTTAAACAGTTTACTGTCAAACATTCCACACGAGGAACCTAATGGAACGAACCGCAAATATTTCCCCTGATAACTGTACCAATAATTGTAGAATTAATTTAATTGATCCCGTATTTGCTTTCCCTGACACGGCGATCCAACGCGCACAAACAAACCGCAGACTGCTTTATTCATTCACGACTAACAAAAATCTCCGAAATTAAACATCAAAAATCACAATAGAACATTTTACTCCTACTGCACCGAAATTACTAGTAAAATCGTTTAGCACTATTTCCATCGAAACAGCCTGCTGACATAAACACTTTAACACATTCCAATAAAACAAACTTACCATTACAATATCACATCCTTACGAAATATCTATCTTCTTCCTTCATCATCCTCGTCAAACCCACTAAACCGACCAATCCTCGGATCTCCGTTCCCCTGAAATGCCCCAAATTTCCATCCCTCCTCGTATCCAGTATCGTCGCGTATCTGCAAATCGAAATTCTATTTAACGCTTTGCTCGGCCAATTCGTTCTCATTTAACATCGCGGCGTCACGTGCATAATCCGGCTGGTAAGCCTTTAAAATAATCGACGTTGTCGGACGAGTCGCCAGAGGGTTGCGGGACACGGCGCGGCGAAGCGGAGGGGGATATGGGGGACGGATAACGAGGGCTCTCGAAACGGCCGGATAGAAAATCGTTCGGCGATCGTGCATCCCCGCGAAACGGCAGTCACATTGTAATCGGGTATAACGTCGGTTTTTCTATGCAGCTTCGCAGCCGGTAATCGCTTTAACTGGCGCTTGCCGCTTATAATGCGATCGCGTCGCGATGCACAGCCCGATGAATGCATTTTCCGTCGCCGGTGACGCGGTTCTCGCTCGTTCGCTCGGCCTCCGTCCCACAGCCTGTTCGCCGACCCCCGATTCCATCGTCGATCGAGGCAGAGCCGGCACAGCGCCGCGTTTTATCCGGCAAATTTTGGTTAAACAGCGCATCATCCCCCTCTCCCCCGTCGCCGCCGCGAGTTTTTGTCGTTGATAAACGCTGGTCACGCTCCGAGCACGCGTGGCAACATCTAGCACGCCGCGCGTTTACACGCGGATACGTCGATCGCGCGCGGTCTCCGAGTGTGTACGCTCGGTGTTTGCTGGTCGGTGTTTGCCGCTCGGTGATGCACGTTCGCCATTTGTCGCCTCGCGTGACTCTCACGGCGAGCTATTGGGAGCGCGTGAATAATAAGGCAGTTCGGGTCTTTGGTAAATTATTAACAACGGTCTTTTTTCGGTTCCGTCGTCGCGTGTTTTCGTGTGATATGGTACGTGTCGGTTTCGTAGGGTTTTAGTATGTTGTTGCGTGGTGTTTCGTTTCTTCTTGGTTCGCGCGGCTGGGGATGGGCGATGCGATTGGCTACAGGATTTTGTGAGCTTTATTAGTTGGTAGGTGCTGGTTTTTGGTGGTTGTGGGGAATTTTTAGGCATTGGGGAAGGAGATTGTAGGAGGTAGAAGGAAAATAAAAGGATACTTATGTTTGGGGGTGCTTTTTGGAACGCTAAGACGATGGCGTTGGATAAAGTTATAAATGTTGGAACTCGTGTTGGGGTAACTAGAATTTATTTCGGTCGAAAGTAAACCTTGTTGTTTATGCATAAATCGTCGTTTGCGACATAGATTGGTGAACCTTGATAAGACGAATATACAAAGTCTTTTAACAGCGTGCATTCAACAACTCATATATTACATATTTTATCATTATAGTCTTCTTATACTTTGGAAATCGTTTAATCTGCATTTCCATTTTGCATTATAATATAGTCTTTCCCAAGTTAATCGTATCCTCATTTCGTCAAGAATAGTTTTGAATTCGTGTTTGCATGTATCTACTTCAGTATCACTTAAAACACATAAATCAGCTATAGTCGAGCAATCTATCCTTCATAAAAGCTCCGAAACCCTCATGAAAGTTAAATAAACACTGTATCACAAAAAAATTCCCATACCCAAAATAGCTAACAAACCATAAACCGAGCCAAAGACACTGATAAACGCAATCGGCGTCTGAAGTCCTCATCCTCTATGAACAAATCAATCACCCCCGAAACACCCTCCACATTCAAACCAACTCTAGCATCCCACTCAAACCAATTTAATCAGAATCCCTTATAAAAATCACACAAACCCACCAGAATCCTCTGCCGACACCAATATACCGCGAACCTCTAGAAAGCGTTCGCCAGAAAAATCGGCGCGGCAGTGTCGCGTAATGCAATAAGTTTCGCGCAATTCGATCAGCTCTCATCTCGTTGATTAGGTTCGAAAGGGTCCGGCAATCTCCACGGTCAAACACAGCCGTGTACCGAGGCTGCGTGCCTGCGTGCGTGTATGTACGAGTATTTCGAATGTTTGGATAGGCGCGAAACTACGCTGGCCGGGTGCGCGGAACTCGATCGCGTTCGCTCGTTTTCGGTGTTGGCGCGTGTGTGTGCACGCGGGGAGCCGAGTGCACGGCCTGGCGCAGCGTGTGCACACACCGGGCTGGGACACGGTTGTGTACCAGTGCACACACTGCGATGATTGCGTTCACGCACGCGTTTCACGCGTTCGCCACGATATTTGGCGGATCGGACGTATGCGGGGACGCCGGGGAGAAAGAGAACCGTGCTGGGGGCGGCGAGGGGGGCGGAGATCGAGCCGGGACAGGAGAGAAGGGATTGGGAACGGGACTGGAGTAATGTCTATTATCGGATTCAATATCGGTGCTCTTGGTAAGCCAGTATACAAATACCCCTATGGCACGGTAATAACAACATAGGTGCACGTGAATCCGATTCCCAGCCACGAATCCTATATGCGACGGATGGCTGCGGTCACTGCAGTCGGTGCACGGCTACCAGACAGATACAAAACGAAACCCCCGGGTTTCGCGCACCCTATCATCCGAAATGGGAAATGCGAGCGGCAAGCAGGCCACTTTCGGCGGGCGTCGATTCCGCCTGCACCGGGGGTATAAAAGACTCTGGGTTAGCGTTAAAACATAGCGAGAGGAGAGGAAAATGATTCTTTCGGGAGATTCGTTTTAACTATTTGTTCGGGTTCCTTTCTTCTTTGCTGTGGTTTTTGTGGATTAGTAACTTGTAGCTTTGATATTCGAGAGGTTATTGTTTCTTGTCACTTGTTCTGTGAAGGGGTTATTATACGAGTAACGTTTTAAGGGTTGACTTACTTTTGCGCGTTAGGTTTATGAAAATATTCATGTGTATTATATTTTTTTTCATGGAATTTGTGTTATGTAATTGTGAAGGTGGAACATGTGACACGCGGTAATGGTTCTTAATATTGAATTATGTTTGCACTTGTATGCTGATTGATTACTAATTGAATGTGTATTCGATGGGAAGCTTACTGGAACTGGATCATTATTTTGTTCGAGTCTGCTGTTTGTTCGAGTGCCACCACGATCGACCATGGATGATATGCACTAAAAGGATGAGAAATAATGCGATGTGAAAATTGTTTTTTCCGTTTATTTCAGGGCCGTTGTAGAAGTGCTGCTTGCTGCAGGCGTCGACGTTAATACGAGGACGTCTGCAGGAACCGCAATGCACGAGGCAGCACTCTGCGGAAAAATGGAAGTGGTACGGGCTCTCCTTGACAGAGGGGTCGATTTGGGAATCCGCGACTCGAGGCAGAACACGGTTTTGGATCTTTTGGGGCAGTTCCCGCCGCACGTCACACAGGACATCACTGCAGTGATAAAAAGTGCGTGTCTGCGAATTACACCATTCTTTGGAATTCATTTTCATTTTCTGTGTACCGTGTCGATGCTGGTAGTGTACTCTTAAGGTAGATGATCGTAAGGAACATTTAAATTAATTTAGAGCTTTTTACGTTTCCTTATTAGAATTTAGATCTCAACCTTTTTCCTTGTAATATTTAAATAGAAATGTGAAGATTTTAGGCCGAATGAAATAAATATGAATATCATTAATTTTTTCTAAGTTAAATATTTTTAAAATTAAATTAATAGCAATAAAGCAATACTTTTGAGCATGGTTAGAAATAGATCATAAGGCAAGGTATTAATTATGAATCTTTAGATTATTATATCATGTAATATTATTGGGAAGTTATATTTAATGAGTAGCATTGTTAATGTAACTTGTATATTGCGACACGGTATATTGTCAATAACAATTTCATCTGATTACTACTCTTGAATCTCAAGATCGCTGCAGATGATGAGAAGTTTCAAAGATCTCCCAAAAAGTCAAGAGTTTTAGGTGTCCAGGGGTCTGCAAATCTTAAGATATCTGTATCCTTGGAACCCTCTGAAATTTTGAAATCCTAGTATAGTTTAGAAATCCTAGTTTGAAGTTCCAGTACTTACACAAGATTGCAATTTCTGATATCAGTATATATAGCGTATCCCGTAATCGATGGTAAAATTTATGGACCACGATAATTATTTACTCAACGAAACACAAGCAGTATAATTAACAACAAATTATTCTACATGAAAAAATATACCAGTAACGTAGAATAATATTTTCTGTTCGAAACGTCTTCAGAAAGATCAGTATAAAAATTCGTCGAACGCACATATATTTCTCTAATTATCTAACTACATTCCTCACATTTCTTTTACATTCTCCCCTTTAAATATATCCTTGCAATTGTACCACCTGTACTTCATCGACAGTGAGCCAAGCGATGGACAAATATTCATCCTCCTTTTTCTTGAAGAACAAATTTCATTCCACGTTTTCAGCTTATTTTCTCGTGCAGAGTCACACCCCTTCCGGGTTCCCCTTGGCCAGGACACCCTGTACATTTTCCGAATGATTAACACTTCTGAATGACATGGTGCCAACAGGGCATAGGTCCTCCTCCGGCGTGGAGAGCGATGCCGACAGCGAAAACTTGCCACCGATTCCGGTCCAGGGCGGCGACTCGTTGGGAAGCCCTTACGAGAACGTTCGGCCAGGGGACGATCTCTCGCCGGCGGAAGGGACGTCGCCCACTCAATGGCAGTTCTATCATAAGCCTCGGGACGACGATCGACGCGTTTCCGGCACTTCCGTCATGTCTTTGTGAGTATCATCTCTTCTCCCCTATTTTTCGTCTTGCCTAAGCGCGTATCGTCGCTTGCTGTGCTCCTCTCCACCGGAAACGTCGTAAACTTTTTTCCTCTCTATGTGTGATCTTACGTGTTACCCGGCCCAGCACTTGCTACCGCGCTAAGTGTTCCTCAGCGAAGCGATGTGAATTTCTTTGCGCAATCAATGTACATGACCATCGTTCATCGTTTTCGTGGTACCTCGAAATAGGTTAGGTATTAGGTTAGCGGAATTCTGAGTAGTTGATCGACATCGAGGACCGTTAGAACAGGGTACATCTTTAGTTGGTGATTAAGTTGATGGAGTAAATAGAAATAAGTGAAACACAATAAATAATGTTATGGACGTTAGCTGAAAGACATTTTTAGCAGAGCACGACAGTCGAATCTACTAAAAAATTATTACATATGAAGCATTCCAGTGTTTGAGGGTAAATAACATTGAGGAAATTAGATAGGAATCGTTAGAAAAAGACATATTTTCAGTATTGTTTAGCAGAACAGGTTGAATCCACCAAAAAATCGTAGTAATCACGCGTGAAACACCCGGATCTCCGAAGAGGGAAGTAGAACGACGATAGAACGGAGCGTTTCATTCAGCGGCAGCAACGTGTCTACGCGAGGAGACGGTATTTATTATAAAAAAGAAACAGAGCGTCGACGATCGGCCATGTCTCGCTGCACCAAGAAAAAGGCCAAGGGAACAACAAGCCAGAAAATAAAAACCGTGCCCATTAATGGCACAAAAGAACGACTACGTTCGCCAACGACCAATCGCGATACTCTTCGACGACGACGCATCGGGTGCACACCGTCGACGGCGGCGGCGGCGGCGGCGGTGGCGGTGGCGGTGGCGGTAGCGGCCGGGTAGGTATTACCGTGCAACGGTCGTACGAACTTCGAAGGAACAAAACGAAACGAACAAACGGAAAAAAAGAGGGTTGAAAGGGAAAGAGAGGAAAAAAAAGTGATCGTGCCTAGCCGGGGCTGGCGTATTTGTGCTCATCCGGCGTCATCTTCGTCGAGAAAAGAATATCGCGTCAGTGCATCGGATAAGAGCGGAGGCCGGTAATATTTTCTAGAAAGACCGGATATATATAAATTTATATACACACACGTACACACGTACATACATATGCATACGTATACATCAAGTATAGATGAGCGCATAACCGTGGCAGCTTTAATATAGGAGATGTTGAGTA